AGTGGGCGTTATAATTATGAGTGTAGGAGTCGACTTGAGTTAAAGTAGAGATTACACTGCTGTAATTTCAATCTTCTATTGGTAATAGTTTTCAAGATAAGAAACGTAACTTTTTTTTGTTGTGTTTGCGCGAATCGGAAGTAAAGATGTAATATCATCGTGTTCCACTGTATCCGAATCTGAAATTACTTTAATATTATTTTCTGTAGAAAACATACTGACCTAGATATTAGTATTACTATACTTACATACTATTTAAAAAAAAAATATTTTGTGGCTAACTTAGACTAGCTCTACTAATCGGTTAGGTACTAATACTTGGTTAGGATCTAATCAGATTAAGTTACGTTAGGGCCTAACTTAATTAAATTTTTGGAACTGACTTTTTCTGGTGCCTTTGGTAGTTGTGTGTAGGCCCAGTATTTAAAAAAAAAATATTTTGGCTAACTTAGACTAGCTCTACTAATTGGTTAGGTACTAATATTTGGTTAGGGCCTAACCAGATTAGGTTACGTTAGGGCCTAACTTATTTAAATTTTTGGGAATGACTTTTTCGGGTGTTTTTGGTAGTGTGTGTAGGCCCAGTATTTAAAAAAAATATTTTGGCTAACTTAGACTAGCTCTACTAATCGGTTAGGTACTACTACTTGGTTAGGACCTAATCAGATTAGGTTATGTTAGGCTCTAACTCATTTAAATTTTTGAAAATGATTTTTGGGGTGCTTTTGGTATTGTGTGTAGGATGAAAGAAATTCACTTAATCGCGCGTGTGTGCGCGTGTGAAAGTGATCAAGTGCCACAGAAGATAATCCGGACAATATTCCTGTGGACTTTTGGTGACGCTGATGGCGGTGTTCCTGATAGCAGTGTTTGCAGTACCGGAGGAGCCGGTTCGGGCAATAAAATGCTGGCGCGAAGGTATATTTCTGTTTGTAATATTATATATATTACATACAACAGTATTAAAGTATAATATATTTAATAAGCGGAAGTAAGCAAATCTTAGGGTGCCCGTTTATTAAGTTTGTTGAATACTACAAGCAGAGAGAAATCTGAGAGCGGCCATTCTATTGTAATTTTTTACGACGGTTTCAGCCGCTGGTTTTAGCCGTATTTCTACAAAAGTGGAACTCAAAGGCCGTTCTACATTAAACGCAAGTCGCTGTTCTCGTAGAACTGATCAATCACGTTGGTCGATTGGCTGATTTGACTCTGCAATTGGTCAATTCCACGAGATCTGCTACTTGCGTTTAATGTAGAACGGCCTTTGAGTTCCACTTTTGTGGAAATACGGCTAAAACCAGCGGCTGAAACCGTCGTAAAAAATTACAATAGGATGGCCGCTCTCAGGTTTCTCTCTGATACCACTGGGTCCCATAGAATTTATATGGCAGTTTGGTGGCCCTGGTCTGAGTTCTCAATATATGATTTTTTTGTTTGTAATTGTTTTTTCGGAAACAAAGAAAAAAAAAGAAAGAAAAAGAAAAAAAAGCGATAGTGGAAAGCTAAATTTCAGATTAGCCAAGATAATTTCATTTCAGAGTCAGTTTACTTTAAATATATGAAATTACTAAAAGAAAAAAAAAGGAAAAAAAATGACAAAAATATATATTAATGCAGATCAGAAACGGAATAAGCAATAGCGATAAAGTCTCTTGCACAATGGACGGAATAGCGATAGCGATAGAAATAACAAAAGTTTTAAAGAGTTTATATTTAAAAATAAAGGTTGGAACAGCGGAATCTAACATACAAAAATACACATGTATCAATGCAGATCAGAAAATTGGAATAAGCAATAGCGATAAAATTTCCGATGAGTTGGCATTGTGCAAGGGGCTTAAAAGTTCTAACAAGTTGGAATTTTGTGTCTATTGCCTGTTGCTGTCGCTATTTCCTCGCATTGTGCGCAAGGCTTAATGAGCTCTCCGTTTGCGCCAAGTTTTGTACATTCTAGTTTGTGGTTGGAGGTTATGTCGCTCGTGTGACGGTAAGTAATGGCTCTCGCCATTACTCGAAATCTGATACGCGATGCGTGCGAGAATGCGTGATTCTCCGTTTGCGGAACGTTGAAGATTGTCATCGGATCGTCCAAAATGTTGACGTCGCAGTTCGGCGAACCTAACGCGGTTTAGTCTGAACGAAAAAAAAAAAAACCGCGCGACATGAGATCTGTTTATAAATTGTTTTTGGTGTGTCTTCTTCTCGCTGTGCTTATAATACTGCTCAACGTTACGACCAAGTCGTTGTACGATGTAGTGTCTAGGGAACACCGGGAACGTGTAAACATGGGAACGTTGACAACGGGCGAAGTGACGATATGCGTGGTGGTATGCGGAGACAGGCTGCACGAGGCTCTGACTATGCTGAAATCAGCGTTAGTCTTTGCTAACAGACCGCTGCAGTTTATTGTACTCGCGGAGAACGACTTGATACCAGCTTTTAGTGAGAAATTATCCGAATGGAAACTTATATCGAACAAGAGCTTTGACTTTTTTGTGCGTCCCATAACCTTTCCCGGTGGCAGCAATGTGGCGATGTGGAAGAAGCTGTTTAAACCGTGCGCAGCTCAGCGATTGTTTCTCCCGGTAATTATTTGTATTTGTACAACAAATCTATTAGTTTCTATAGTGTCCAATTATCTAGATTGTATCTTGTTTCGTACAGTTGAGTGTATGCCAAGTTTTATTTCAGACTGTGTTGAACGCTACGGATGCTGTACTCTATGTGGATACGGACACTCTGTTCCTAGCGCCACCGGAGAAGATCTGGGATGAGTTTAAGAAGATGAACTCTAGTCAGCTGGCTGCGCTTAGTCCTGAGCACGAAGACCCCAACACTGGCTGGTACAACAGATTCGCCAAACATCCGTATTACGGCAAGCTAGGTGTCAATTCGGGTGTAATGTTGATGAATCTCACGAGAATGAGGGAATTTAGATGGACGGAATATGTCATTCCTATTCACAAGGAGTATAGGCTCAAAATTACTTGGGGTGATCAGGACATCATCAATATAATATTTCATTATCACCCGGAGAAGCTGTATGTGTATTCGTGTAGATACAATTACAGACCGGATCATTGTATGTACATGTCGGTGTGCTCGGAAGCGGAAAAGGATGGCGCTCTGGTGCTGCACGGTTCCCGTGGTACGTTTCACTCGCAAAAACAGCCACCTTTCAAGGCTATGTACAAAGCTATGCAGGAGTATCGACTAAACGCAGATCCGTACGACGATCTGCTTGTGCCGATGAGGAATTACCTGGCGATGGAAGATAAGTCCAACTGCGGTCGTGTGTCAAAGGTGTTTATCATCCAACCGGAACTCCACTTGAATCCAAGTCCGTAACTTCTGAATATTTCATCGTATTCGTGAGAGTTTCTTCGTTTTGTATTCGGAATCCACCAACCCCAACGATATCGTCGTATCGTTAACTGCGACAAATTACTTGGAGCAATGTCTGATGCAAGTGTTTGTGTATTTGTGCACTTGAGAAGCCACTTTTATTTGAAATATAGTAACATTATCTATAGTGTCTTTTCTAGGAACTTGCGTCGAAATTTCGGCTTTAAAAAAAATTGCGTAATTATAAGAATACACACACACATATACATTGTGAATATGTACATCACATCTTAAATTGTAAATCTCGTATATCGTTGTTTATCAGTGTGTTTAAGAAATTACGTTGTTGCCTAATATACAAAAAAAAAAAAGGGTGTATAAATTGTCAATTGATGTAACCGGTCCTTTACACATTTCACACGTGTTAGTTTATGAGTGTTTTGCGCGTAATGTTATAAGCCGAGTGGTTAGAATTACAATTTTTGCAGGCGTAGTTGCTTGCAAATTGAAGGACGTATAATTTTATTTGATTCCAAAACGATTTTCCATGTATTGTAGACTGAACTTTTTCTATGGTGCATTTGAGTTTTTTTGTTAACAAGTGCGCTATGTTGTTACTGTTGTATGACGTGCGAGATACGTGTGCGGCGAATATGTTATTTTATATATATTCGTACTTGTTACTTTTTGACAATACTCGAGTGATATTAGCTCAGCGAGAAAAAGAAATGATAACTTTTAAAACTACGAAGTATTCGTACGCGCATGTGAGTATATATAAATCGTATATAAGCGAATTTAATTTTAGCGAGAATATTTTACATTTTACATACAATTTCTTACAATTTTATACGGTTTTTGCGACATGTATTTTGTATCGTTTATTTAATTGTCCAACAACTTCGATACCTTTTGTGATACTTTTCTTATAAATGACTATTGTATAACAAAGAGCCAAAATAAAGATCTGAAAAAGCATGCGCACATTTTATTAATTGTTCTCACATTACAAAACAAAAAAACAAGATACACTTGTATTGAATTTATAGCTTTTCGTGTATATATAAAAAAAAATTCAGATTATTTCAAAAAAATATACGCAACTTAATTTAGTTTATTATTTAAAGTGCATGTATACGTATATATTTGTGTGCATATAGTTTGTAGAAAAAAAAAATGTTAAAAGGACGAGATGTGTGATTTACGTTTCTTTGTTAGAATCGCGTCACGTACTCTACGTGACGTAGTAGCGATGAACTGGCGAGCATGTTCGAGGGGATCAACCGGTGCGAGAAGGAGCCTGCTCCGCCGCGCGATCAGTCCTCTCACCGTCGCTTTCCGGTTCGGGCACGCAGGCTCATAAAACGGTTTTGTCTCGTTGCGCGATGATTTTTTTTATATACACGTATCGAAAAAATTTCTCTGGTGTCAACTAAATTAAAAGAAACGTCGCGTTGACGCGTGTTTGGGAGTGAGTGCAAGGCTCAATCGCAACAGCGGTTTCTGATTAATCCGTTTTTTGACTGATTAATAGTTCTTTCATTTACATAGTTGATATAAAATCACAGAGCTAGTGATATAAATATGTGAGAAGAACTACTATGAGGTATATTGGCAAATGTAGATCAGAAAAATATTTATTGTAACACTGTTCATTTTTTGTGAACTATTCATCAATCGGTACGGGATACAAAATTAAAAATTAAAATATATTCATATTTCTGAAAATAAAATTGAAATAAATTCTGAAAAATTGTATCCGTATAATTTATAAATAACTACATATATAACGAATAAATATTAAATTAATATTAAATATATATTTAAAATTGCACTTTTTTCATATATGCAGACGTGTATGCTACTTGAATTGTACATGGAAATAAAGCAAATTTGGTTGGTTTCTCAAAGATCTATACTTTTGAGTATTCGTATTTGTATGTATTACATACATTCGGCGGTTGACGTTAGACTTCTCGATCTAACGCCGATCCTGATTTAACAATGACGATTATTTGCGAAATAACGTCAGCTTACGTTTGCGTATTCTTCTGTGAATCTGTGACTGTAAGACTCCGTAACTATAAGATAAGAATCGAGCGAGCGCAAACGCAGTACGAGTGAGAGTAGAGCGATAACAATTCGTGATAACGAGTAGACGAATACGAGTACGTTAGTCCCGGTGATTGTTAGTTGCGACGACGAACGTGTTGCGTCCACGATTATTGTATTACGTATTGTGGTGATGATCTCCAAATAAGCGTACAGTTTGGTCTGTGTTTCGTGTTCGTGAAAAAAAACCTATGCGGATACTCGGATACGGCTACGGACAGGTGCGCACCGATCGCAGCATGAAGAAGTGAGAGGTCGATCTTCTCGTTGTTCCGAGCGGGCGTTGCGTGTTATTTGTATGTACATGCATGAACGTACTCGCTTGTAACATTACGGTATCGCCATGCTACTATATAGGGTGTTTCAAAAATCATCGATAAGCATCTCTATCGTGCTCTACACGTGCAAAATGTCAAAATCTACAATTGCATTAATTACCTTCAATATTTTTTTATAGTATAATTGAAAAAGATTTTTATTAAAAATTATAGAAATTATTACACATTACCTAAGTTTCGTATTGTAATACACTGTGTTGTGTAATTTTTAATTTATGACTTGAATAACAGTAAATAGCGTATACATTGCGAATAAAGACGCAGTTGTAACGCTGATGTAATGGCGTGTATATAATAAATTTATTTATTTATTTGCGTAAAAAACTAAAGAGACGAAAGATGAAAAATAAAAGAAATTAAAAGTCCGGTTATATTAAGTTTCTCAGTCAGTTAAAGAGATTGTTGTTAAAAATTGATGCTACTTTTGCTGCGTATTGTATTTCAATAGTTGAGTAAACATTTTTATACGTTGTGTTTATTGCAGTATCGTGTAATCGTGTAAACGAGACATCAAATATGTTGCGCAGTTATCTTTCGCTCAATACACGCTACGTATCAGTTTTTAGACAAGTTGATCTTCTCGCCATTTCCACTAATTGGAATAACGCAATAAATCGCTTGTAAACTGCAGTTTGACCGGATGATTGAACAATCAGGTTTCGCGGAGAAAGTTGCTTCTTGTTAATGCACTATGAAATAAATGTCAAATGTTTGAGACACGAAAATTAGCGGATTTCAATTGTTGGAAGAAAACTATTCATATTGTTTTAGTTTGTTTTATTTTAATTTATAATTGTACGTAATTATTATCAAAAAAAAAAAAAATTATCATCTATCTCCTAATCACAAAACTTATGTTTACATTCTGTTTTGAGGTTTTTTTTGTTGTGGTGCTTATATAATATTAATAGCTAAAAAAGAATAAGTATCTATAATAAAACATTTTTTTGCAACGTTGCGTGATCTGCACTTCAAACATTAGACAATTGAAGATAATCCAAGCAACCTAGCGCGATATTTCGTGTCAGTTCGCATTGTCGTGACAAAATAGCGTTTGCGAAATTCGCGACAGCTTAGTCAGAGATTGCGACGTTAACGATCTGTAAGTCGAATCCCCCGGTATATACATACGTACATTGTGTGTAATCTCAATCTGTTATCATGCTCATACATTTATCACTTCGTCGTACGACGAGATAAAAAATTGGTGGTGACATAATTCAGCTATATTTGATACGATTTTTGTCGTAATATTCCTTTATGTACACAAAAAGTAAGTTATTTAAAAATATTTTTATATTTTTTCAAACTATTATACAAATTACATACGGAAACATAATTCAAACAGTTTTGTATAAACTGTATAAAAAAGTATCAGGTATACTGTAACGCTAATACATGCATTTGATAGAATTTTTTAAATATTTTCTATACGCACACACACTCTCTCTCTCTCTCTCTTTAAGTATCGAATAATAATCATCGAACATATATTTTATAAAATTTTTACACTTTGTAATTGATTGATGAGTAAAAATTAACTTGGCCAAAAATTATACACTTGCGAAAAGTATGATATCTTAAAATTTTCAATCAAAAATCAAAATATATTTCAAATTAGCGACGATTGTTCTTCATTTAAAGAGAATGTTTCAGGCGAATAGCGCAACAGTGTACAAAGGAAGTTTGTTACAATTTACAATCTTAACGCAAACAAGGCATGCATCTTCGCTTTTCTAAAATATGACGTTACGTAAACCGTTTATATTTGAGAGATACGCGAGGAAAAGAATAAAAATATACAGTAGGAGTTGACGCAAGCACATAGCTAAATAATACACGTCATTATTCTGAAACGTCGCACTCGAGACACGGTAATTTTAAGAAGGATAAACTGAGAGAAATGTGTAAGAGAAAATAAGTAGGTATACACATAGATAAATAATAGATACCGTCGACTATAGTTCAAGTTTTATCCGCGATGTAACATGTGGCGGATAGATACTTTTATCCTAGTGCACGGTTGACAAATCGCCGGGATTGCAATTACCGTACGTTTACCGTGGTTCTCATTTTTCTTATCTTGTCGTTAATATATCGCGAATATATTTAGTCGTAATCATAATTATTGATTATATATGATGCAATATTCGTATCTATAATAATTTTTTTTTCTTTTCATTTAGCACCGACGTACAATCGATGCGATCGTAATGTCAACATTTATCGAATTAATAGATATTAATTACAGTGATAATTATTTACAATATTTTACAAAATAATCCGAAAAGAAACAAATATTTTCTACGTACATAAAATTTATAAGTTTAGCAGATTTGAAATTGTCGTCATGTCGAATCGTGACACAATCTCATCTCGAGTAAGAATATAAAGAACAAATTAGAAAAAAATCGTAATCACGCGTCGTTATTAGTTTTGATACTTGAATTTCATTAAGTACTAGAAATATTGTGATGACTCCGTCAATTGTAAACAAAATCAATTTATATGTGCAGAATTAAAAATGCCGCTGTTCAAGGCGCGAGCCACGCCGAGATCTCCGATAGCGGAGAAAGCCGCGAACGGTGTGCAGTATCGCAACTGCCGTCAACATCAGGTCAACAATGACAACAATTGTGACAGCGGCGCGAGCGGTAACGGGACTGGTGGCCAGTCGAGCAATCCTCTTCAGCATGAACAAAAGACTAGGAAGTCATCCCAGGAGTCGAAACTGCCTTCGCTAGTCTTTCATTGTCAGCTGGCCCATGGTAGTCCTACGGGATTAATATCGGACTTCAGCAATGTTCGCGAACTGTACCAGAAAATTGCTGATTGTTACGATTTGCCTGCGGAAGAGGTGAACTTAAAATAATTCATTAAAATGTTTTGAGCTTGCTTTCTTCGGTAACAAATTTGAGTTCTAAAAAATACTTAAAGATCCTCTTACATTTAAAACTAATAAAATGACGAGACATAGTCAGAATGTGATATATACGTATACAATATACAGATGTTACATATAAGTCCATATATAGTATTTTCAATATGGAACATAGGAAGACGCGACACCGGACGCAGGAAACGACGGTTACGGACCGTGATCTTTCATTGATGGCCTGGCGATGTCTCTTTCTGTGTGTATGTGTGTGTATGTATGTATGTATGTGTGTATGTATGTATGTGTGAAAGAGAGACAGAGAAAGCTGCGTGTAAACGCGGTCACTGCGATATAACTAAGTCGTCCAGTGAATGGTTGCGGGGACACGCTTCTCCGTTGCAATTCTTGCGACATTTAGTTAAATATTAATGTATATAAAAATGTATGTAAAAAATAAATCAAGCTATTAAATGTATATAAATAAACCACTTGGTTGCAGCATTGTATTATTGTGACAGTGATTAAGAAAAAAAATGATATTAATCAATAAAAAACAAACAATAAACTTGGATGTAATTAAACAGAAAGAAATATCTTGAGATTTTACTTAAACATATATGTTGTAAAAAAAACTCAAGTATTTTTAATTTTAATAAATTTACAAATCTTGAAAAATTATAAAACACATTTGAAAATTAAGTATATATTCGCATATTGAAAATAAGAATTTAATACTTTAGATTCTCTTTTGCACACTCAATACGCACAAAGTGGAAATGGCGGAATTGCTAGGCGGACAAATTGGCGTTGGCGACTTCATATTTGCACATAAAAAAGGTTGTTATCAAGTTTGTTATCTTATATAAGCTACACGTGTATGTGTATATATGTATATTAAACAAAACGTAAAAACTGTTGTTTATTATATGTATATTTTTAATACAGGTCGGCCGAAAGAAATCGAACTGATAAAAACGGATGACGCGTTGGGTCTGACGATTACTGACAACGGCGCTGGTTACGCTTTTATAAAGCGTATAAAAGAAGGCTCTGTGATCGACAGAATAAAAGTTATCGAGGTGGGTGATCACATCGAGAGGATTAACTCGATCAGCCTCGTTGGCAAACGACATTTCGAAGTGGCGAAGATGCTAAAGGACATACCGAAAGGATCGACGTTCACATTAAGACTTATCGAGCCGCTGAAAAACGGTTTTGGTAATATTGGGCCGCGTGGTGATCACAGAAAAGGGAAGAAAGCTAGCTATGGATCTGGTAAAGAGACCTTGAGATTCAAAGCCGATGGTAGTGCGCAAATAGAACAGGTGAATATTACAACCAAAATATAAGATTGTCTAGATCGCTGGGAAAAGAAATAATGAATGAGCGATAAAAATAATTTTGCGATATATAAATAATATTGTCAGAAGAATAACATATTCTTGATAACAATTCTTCAATAATGCAATTGTAATAAGAGTTTTCTATTGTGATATAATATAAAGTATAAAGATTTTCTGCTGATTGTAAAAAAATAATTGCGAATACGAAAAAAGTTAAATATAAATATTTGTTCAGGTTGACGATGCCGCTGTATTAGGCGTAGAAAAAATCAACACCATCTTGGAAAGCTTTATGGGTATTTCGGACACAGAATTAGGTAGGTTTTTGAACAATTCTTTTCATCAGTTAGTTTATAATTTCTCCGATTTTTTTTAAATTATTTTCGAAACCTATACTCTTTTTGGAACGCAGAATTAAACATTCGGCTTTGATTTATCGCAGCCACGCAAATCTGGGAGCTCGCCGAGGGCAAGTGCAACAGTATAGACTTTGCCGAGGCAATAGACAACTCCGACTTGGAAGACTTTGGTTTCACCGATGACTTTGTGATTGAATTGTGGGGCGCTGTGACAGATGCCAGAGCGGGTCGACATCGATGACGCAAAGATTAGTAACGAAATACTAATAAGAACATACAAGCAAATTCCGGAAAAAAAAAAATATGTATAAAACGTTTTTAAATTTGGTGAGACTATCGTAAATACTTGAGCAAACGTATGCTATTTCTGTAATTGTTAGCGCACATTTCTATAATTGTAATTCTTTGAATTTTGTTACTACTCAAAGATATGCTCAATTTGGGAATTGTAAAACATATAAATATTCCAAATATTCAACACAAAATTGTAAGTTGAATCTGTATTAATAATACTCCATATTATTTTTGCCCTAGAATTAGCGTTTTGTGATTGTGTCATATGATAAGCATATAATCAAATTAGAGAAAAAAAGTTGTAAACCTGTGAAACAAAACAATTTCTACGTTAATTTTATGTATAGTGAATGTTATTTTACAAAAAATGTATAAATTGTAGCTGTAAAATAACAATATTTTTTAAACTTGGTCGATGAACAATATTTTTGTTTGAAAATATCAGCACTAGGGTATATACTGAATCAAACGAAAAAAAGTTTGTGTGATCAATTTCATATTATTTTCCATATTAGTATTAAATTGCAACGTAATATTAAAAGCGTAATACATAGTACAGTAGATAATTACAGTATGTCTTTGTAATAAACCACATGTTTTGTATGAATTTCGATTAAAAGACAGACAATGAAAAACTAATTACACATGTCCAAAGATACAGATATTTAATCAGTATTTACTCGGTGATACGTTCGATCGCTATCCACAGTCGCGATCGCGTAGTGCCTGGGCCCATATGCATTTTTCTCTTTCTAAGCCTCTGTCGCATCTACTTACGCGTTAGCATAGGACTCCGTATGTAATATAAGAGAGAAATCTGAGAGCCGGCCGTTCTATTGTAATTTTTTACGACAGTTTCAGCCGCTGGTTTTAGCCGTATTTCCACGAAAGTGAAACTCAAAGACCGTTCTACATTAAACGCAAGTCGCAGATCTAGTAGAATTGACCAATTGCAGAGTCAAATCAGCTAATCGACCAACGTGATTGATCAGTTCCACGAGACCTGCTACTTGAGTTTAACAGAGAACGGCCTTTGAGTTCCACTTTTGTGAAAATACGGCTAAAACCAGCGACTGAAACCGTCGTAAGAAACTACAATGGCATGGCCGCTCTCAGGCTTCTCTCTGCTATAACTGCGAGATACTTTTTAATTTCGTAATAAAAAAAAATTATGAAATCAACTGTCTATTAATTCACTTTACCTTTCCATCCCTATGTGTACCGAAAATGGCGTATGGACTACCCTTTCAGTCCATGAGCCACAAATGCACCAAACCCAAACCAAAAATTATGAAAAAATTAGTATTGCGAGTAGAACTCAAGATAGCTGGTTTTACAATGTTAATTATTACTGATAATGTTTTATTTTCATATGTGATATGTAAATAGTAATTGTACTTCTTCAGCTTATTATCGAAAATATTTTTTTCGTCATTTCTCGAATGTTGCACGGAGTCGGACATTCCTGGCGAGAGCTTCGGTCGGTAGGTTCAGACGTTCCGTTCAAAGTTCAGAATCTTGGATTCGTTCAGTCAGCGGTCACGTCTCGCGTGTGTGAGTGATATTGTAATGTTAAGGGCCTGAGCACAATAGAAAAAATATATTAGGAATAGGAATTAAAAACAGAGGTTAAATGTAATGTACAAGGCAAAAAAATAAAATATAACGTATAAATGTATATAAGTAGAGACTGTATATCATGCAGCTATGACATACTTCCTGTATTTATATGTTATATTTTAATTTTTGTCATTGTATAGTATACATTTAACTTCTATTTCTAATTTTTATTCTTAATATTTTCTCTAATGTGCTCAGGCCCTAATTCTTATTCCTAATATTTTCTCTATTGTGCTCAAGCCCTAACAAAAGTGACATTTTGGAACAAAATTTTGCACTTTAACGTAGAAATATCTTGGTAACGCGACAAAGTCTGTAATAAATAAGTGAAAAAGAACATAATAATATCTGGAAATAATATAAGGTAGGAATAATATAATGCAAATACAGAAGTGTATGCTTAATCTCTGATGCAAAAAGATTTATGTATTGTAATAAATTATATGTTTAGCATACAGTAACTATGGCATTCGTGTTAAGAGGTGTCAGTGGTATGTTCCTACGTTTAAGCAACGGTTTGTGCGTCGCACGAGCCTCTGTAAAAATATCACGGGTATGTCAACATGTGAGCGATTGTCTTATTGTGTTATCGAGCGTAATCTGTGCTGAAGAGTTATTTTGATTGTTATATTGCAACAGTATAAATTATATGACAACAATATGTAGAGTTTTATTGCAGAAAATATAAATGTAGCGATTCTCTACATATTCTGTATTTTATACGCTAATAGAAGATATATGTAAAATTTAATATTATAAGAGTATTCTTTTTCTTAAATCACATCTATGTCAATTCTGTGATTATTGTATGTTATTATTTTGATATACGTTTACTAAATATCTTTAATATGATAATGTTTGTTTATAAACATTATTAAAGTACAGATGAGTACAGCCAAATCTAATTCAAAAATCTTAATTAATAACTAAATTAATAGGTGTGTGCGGTTGACTTTTCTATCAAACTAGACATCCCACAAACAGAAGAGAAAACTGAAAAGTTAAAATCGCTGGTAGGAAATGGCAAAGTATTCGAAAGTATAGAAGAAGCTGTATCTGATATTCAGGATGGAGCTAAGTTATTGGTTGGTGGATTTGGTCTCTGTGGTATTCCAGAAAATTTAATAGCAGGTGTATTAAAAAAAGGTTCTAAAGATTTAACTGCAGTTTCCAATAACGCTGGAGTTGAAGATTTTGGATTAGGTATATTGTTGAAGGAGCACAGAATCAAAAGAATGATTGCGTCGTATGTGGGTGAAAATCCTGAATTTGAAAGACAGTATCTTAGTGGTAAATTGGAAGTTGAGTTAACGCCACAGGTAATGCTTTCAAAGCTGAGGAAAATTCAAGTAAATTTTCACAAATTAAACATTGATTTGCACAGGGTACTTTGGCGGAACGTGTGAGAGCAGGTGGTGCTGGTATTCCTGCTTTCTACACTCCTACAGCTTTTGGCACAATTATACAAGAGGGTAATGTTGTTGTTAAATATGACGAGAATGGTAATGGTGAGATTTTGAGCGAGCCAAAAAATGTCACGCAATTTAATGGACGGAATTATGTATTGGAGACCGCTATTATTGGCGATTTCGCTCTCGTAAAAGCGTGGAAGGCTGACAAGGCTGGTAATCTTGTATTTCGAAAATCCGCGAGAAACTTCAATCCCGTAATGTGCAAGGCAGCCAAGATATCAATCGTCGAGGTAGAAGAGATTGTAGAAATCGGAGAGTTAGATCCTGATCAAATTCACTTGCCTGGTATTTTTGTGGATAGGATTGTAAAAGGTCCCTCTTACGAAAAACGAATAGAGGTTGGCATTTATTTTTATCTTGATCAGTATTTACTGAAATCATGATTAGTCGAATACAAATGTCTCGTTATATTTTTTTGTTCTGCAGAAACGTTCGACGAAGCAAACTATGAAGCCAAAAAAAGTGACTCCAGCTAGTAAAGCGAGAGACAGAATTATCAGGCGTGCCGCTCTTGAATTTAAAAATGGAATGTATGGTAAGCGTGTTATCAATGCTGCAATTCCGAGTAAAAATAAAATCATAAAATTATTATTTGCGAAAAAATCGTAAGAAATTAAGTTACGGTTTTACGTAAATTGCAATTCTGCATCAGCGTCGTTCTGTTACATGTCCATAATTCAAATAAGTAACGAAATGAATAAACTTTATCTTGTAAGAAACAATATAGATAAGTGTGTACCCTTATCTATAGACAGTTGCGAAACCGTTTGTCAGATGTAATTGCGTAATAAATAACAAAAGCAAGATACTTGACAAGGTGTTTGTGACAGTAAGATATAAGACAAATTTTTTTATAGCAAATTTAGGAATTGGTATTCCCATGCTTGCTAGTAATTACATCCCTAAGGGTGTGAAAGTAACGTTACAATCTGAGAATGGTATTCTTGGATTGGGTCCTGTACCAGAAAGCGAAATCGATGTCGACGCCGACCTCATTAATGCTGGGAAAGAAACTGTCACAGTTCTACCCGGTGCTGCGTTTTTCAGTAGTGACGAAAGTTTTGGTATGATTAGAGGGTATGTATAATCCTTCTTACGAGCTATTTTACAAAGCTCGAATCTCTTCGCCGTAAATTTTTGAATATATATATATATATAAAAAAGATACAAATTTTTTTTATGTATAATCAACCAAATAAACTAATAACGATATTTTCTAGGGGTCACATTGATCTGACTATTCTCGGAGGCATGCAAGTATCGGAGAACGGAGATCTGGCTAACTGGATGATACCAGGTATGATGGTAAAAGGCATGGGTGGTGCCATGGATCTTGTTTCGGCTGAAAGTACAAAGGTGGTTGTAACTATGGAGCATAAAGCCCGAGACGGAAGTCCGAAAATTTTAAAGAACTGCACTTTGCCTATCACAGGTAATATTTCAATACATTTTTATTAATATTTGTAATTTATTTTTTACATTTTTTTCTCTACATGCTAACATATACATTTTTAATATGTTTTTATTTAATCTTATCTTTTTATCGATATTTTCGACATCACTTTTTTCTAATGGTACATATAATAATAGTTGCTTCGTAATTTTAATAGGTCAACAGTGTGTAGATTTGATTATTACTGATTTGGGCGTGTTTGAAGTTGTGAAAGGTGAAGGATTAAAACTTATTGAGATTGCTCCCAACGTCGATATCAGTGAGATTGTTAGTTCGACAAGCTGTGAATTTAGCGTTGCTGACGATCTTAAGGAAATGGATCAAGTCGAGGTCGATGAATAAATAACTTGTAATATATTCCATATAATGGTTTTTGTAAATGTGTGAATATTTAATCACATATTTCACTAATTTGTCTGAAAAAGTAAAATTTACACTCTTTTTAGTATAAAGAAATAAAAACTTTTATATATATATATAAAATTGTAACAAAAGAAAAACCTTGTAATATACATGTAATGCAAAAGAAAAGAGCCGTTATTTGTGTAGGGTATAATTTACATATTATTGTTGACAAATTTGTAATACTTTTATTTTTTCTACAGATACAATAGTGCGTACATTATTAAATATGTTGTAGTTAATAAATGTTTACCTTAATATAATTATATACATTGACAGAATTAAATATTTGTTTTCTAAATGTATGTTTTAATAATTATATATATTATTGTAAAATTTACAATGATCCGTAGTTGCTGAATCGAAATCATGGTGCATACGTTAAGATTGGAATAAAACGATTTTATAACTTGTTATAAAAGTTTTTGATTTTTTTTCTATATATGTGTCTTTTTTCTCTTTTAATAAAAAAAAAAAAAAAACAACATTTATGCTACTTACAATTTTATATACATTGCGATGTGTTATCATCAGCCAGCTCTTTTCGAATATTTGATTCCCCGTATACACTGCGTGTAAGGTTCCATACGACAATATTAAATGTTATTTCCATATTGTACTTGACAATTCATTATTCTCTAAATTTAGCTTTTATTTTAGCGGGCAAAGGCAACAGATATAAAACGCTGTTCAGAATAACAAGACCGATAGCAAACGCCAGAGAAATCAGCAGATTTAGATTTACGTTCAAAACCTCGGAGATGTTCTCACCTTCTCTGGTGAATCGTTCTATCAGATAAATCTTGCCATATGGATATCTACAGAGCTCGGGGATACCCGGGCAAGTAAAGCTCTCGTTATAGGGTAGATTGGACATAATAGGCGTGTCCATGACTAGCTGATTTAACGCCAAAGAAGCATATCTGGTCGGCAACGCGATCGACACCATCGCCAACCAGTACGACAGATTCTTCAGACTTCGAACAACACCTGAAGTGACTACCAAAGACAATAAGGTCATATAAAGCACCGTGATAGCACCGGTAATGGGTCGTGCGACCACCATCAACACAGCTACGGTCACTTGTTCGGCTGCTACGTAACTAGACCATAAAATACCACAAGCGTACGCCCACGAAGGAAGATCAAGTTCCAAAATAGGAACCAGAATTCCGATCGTCATCAAAGTAGATATGAAGCTCAGTGGAAGACTCAGCATTATATACGCGGTGAGAAACATCGCTCCACCGTAGAGACCCTCGCGCTTTTCTTGATAATATCTCGCACGGAATCCTGGAACTATCAGTATCAATTTTTATTTATAATTAAACGTCTAACATAAATGGGGTAAAATTACTTGACCTTTTGATATATTTGAATTATTACAGAATTAATTTAGTTTGATTTGAAATAAATTTAGCGAAGATAGATAAAAATAGACAAGAAAGCAAATAAAAAAGATTAAACAAAGTAGTCTCGGTCATTGCTATCTATTTTTAGTAACGTGTCAATTATCCTTTTTAACTTACACAGAAGCGATGTTGTAGCTATTCCCGCAACGTAAAACAGCGTCAAAACGTTGAAGATTAACCCGCCGGTTTGTAAAAAGATCCTTGACTGTACGGGACTTGAGTGCGAGTACAGTATGCTCATTAAGGCGATTAAGAATGGCAGCAACAGCAGGCGAGCGGCAAAGTGTCCCAGACCGGTCTTATTTAAGCAGAATGTCGTTGCCATACCTCGTCTAAATGTGCAACAACATGATCGTCTATAATTGATCTCTACGAGATATTTTCTGAAATTGTTGACGCTAATTTTGTCGATAAAAATGAAGTAGCCAAGTTTTAAAAGAATATATTGTATAATTTCAAAATTATGTCTCTCTAAAAAAAAGCACAAATTATATAAAAAAAATAAGATGTTTAAAAAATGAAGTTTTTAATTTGTTTATTTCATAATACATAATACAAATCTTATTTTGCACCTGATAATTTAAAAAACTCACAAATATAGCGCCAAAAGAGTCGAAAAGCATCCAGGTTTAATGCCGCGACCTAAACCTTTGTGTACGATACCAAAGCCCGAGTCTTTCATATTGTGTGGCACTTGTGGCGCTTCCTTCATGTAAAGCACTCCGTCAATTTTGAATTTCTCGACTAAGACCGATATCTGCTGATTAGATTCCAGAAAGCGATCCCTAGAGCGACGATCGACAGTCGACAAGCAAACTGAAAAAAAAACGACGTATTTTCAATACATAAAATTAGATTTAAATCAGAAATTTTCTTTTTTAAAAAATAATAAAATAATATTTATATATTATACATATATTAATAATAAATATAAATATGCTCTTAAAAACATATTTGAGTATAGAAAAAATTTATTTAAGAAGAAATACAAATTTTTAATGCAAATCACATTCTACGCGACACTCACGATAATACATTAAAGGATTTTCCAATTCCGGACACGGAAAACCGATGTAGGTAAAATAATCTAGCATGCTTCTAGTTGGTCCCGAGTAAACCACCGCGCCCAGACACAACAAAGTCACGCGACTGACAAATGGTAACACGTCGGATCTGGGTGTCTCCATAGTAAGAACAACAATGGAACCGCGTCTGGTTGCATAGGACCACAACATCGAGACGATGAGATACGTGTTGAGCGGATCGGTGTCCCAGGTCGGCTCGTCCAGTAGCAGCAGAGTCGGATCCTTTGCCAGTTGCACGCCCAGCATCAATCGACGATATTCCGGTCTGGTGAGATCGTTTACCGATCTGTTGGCGACCTGCGACAACGCCAAGTCAGCGAGAGTCTGCCGCACCCGGATCTCACGATTGTTCAGATTGGCCAGCCATGTGGCATACATCAGAGTTTGACGAACTGTCAGACTCGGCAGCAGATGACATCTGTGTGCAACATAGCCGCCGTGACGTCGGAACAATTCTGGCGTCAACAAATTGCCGTTCAGAGTGATTCTCCCTCTTATCTCACCCTCTGCTCTTCCAGCTAAAAATGGTTAAATTCGAAGATTACTTTTTTTATTTTCTCTTTTTTTAATCTAAATTTTAGTTAAATCGCAAAAAAATTGTTATCAATATATTTTTGTGCGATCTTAAATTCTGAAAGAAATGTTACAAATACGAAAAATTGGCATATTAAATGAAAAAGTATTAATTTTGAATAATTGAGATTATATAATATTACCGATAACATCGAGAAGTGCTCGCTTGCCGGAACCCTTTGATCCTAGTATAGCTAAGACTTCTCCGCCGTGAACGCGGGCTGATACATCCCGCAGTACTGCGGTGGGTTCGGATTTGTTAAGGCAACTTCCTTCGATTATAACGGAAGTAGAATGAAACACGTTAGATATATCCAGAATGCAATCGGACGGAATCATCTTGCTACGATCTGTGCTGTATTCAGTTCCCACGATTACATTCCTCAAGATAATACTGCGAAGATCATAAATTTATTTGCAATGTTAAAGATCATAAAACTACTTCCGTGGAAGTTTATATTGTGAACATTTTATATCTTTTCTAAATATAGCTGCAGTTTATAGTAATTTGATTAAAAAGAAACACTTGTTTTAATTTTAAAAAATAAAAAGTTTAAAAAAACACAACAAACTATTATAATTTACATCACAATTTGAAAAGTGTTTTTCTCTCTTTTTCTTTCTCTCTCTTTCTCTCTCTCTCTCTCTCTCTTTAATTTATTATTTTAAATAAACAATTTTAGAAATATATTTTAAATTGGAAGAAATCTTTCAAAAACAAAATATATGAAAATCCAAAATAACGACAATTTGTAATATAATTACTTTTTGTTATCGTAGAAATAATTAATTGCAATAAAGTGATGATATCATATGTTACTATTGAATAAATAAATAATACACACAAATCTTAGAAAAGATATCAGAAACAATATTCACTCGAAATGACACCTGGCGTATAACTAAGATGCAAAGTTATCACGATGAGATTGACCTATTCGTCTTGTTTTTGATCACATCTAAACTTTGAAGTCACCTCGTGTATCGTGAAACTCGCGTAGCTCACAAAGAAAGATGACACTCTACGTCGCGACCTCTAACAAAGCTGTTCTCCAAAAGTGAGAGCCGACGTACCCTTCCGCTTGTACTGTCGCGATGTGGATTGCAGCGCGAACTGACCGCGTGCGAATATCATGAGTGTAAAAGTGATTCGTTCGAGCAAGGCTGGGACGCGAAAAACGCGTAGCCGTAAGTAACGATACCTGGTTGGGAGTTGGTTCTCCTCGAGGTGAATGTCTTTTCTCCAACGCGAACCTTCGCGGTAGAAGGGAGCCCGATCCTGACGTCAACATCGGCGTAGCCACGCGAGTTAGACCAGAATAACGTATGACATCTTGCCTGTACATTAGAAAATTTTGTTTTATGAAAAATATCATAAGATGTATCACATTTGTGACTATCTTATTTCACTTCTTTTCTATATCTATGTCTAGTACACTGTTGGCTTTTGTCTTTTTTTTATTATTTCTTTGATTCTTTAATTATCGAGATTTGTTTATGTATTTTTGGAATAAAATTGCGATAAAAAAATATAAATACCTATGTCGAAAAATCTTAAGAACTAAATATTTTGTGTTTAACTTATTCACGCCGAAACAACATACAAGAAATGAAATATTGTCTTTATCTTAAAATTGTTTCGTGTTAATAAAAAAAAGCGTTAGAATCCTCATTATATTGTTATTCTGAAAAGATATGCCGATACAAATCATCGAATATAGGATAAAAGCGGCATAGAGAATTTCTCCATAAATTCTTCAAATATGTCGCGTGTAATAAAATAAAATGCGCAACAAAAAAAAGTAATATTAGCAAAGTGCAGAAAAGTGCAGAGAGAACATGCATATAAGAAATAATTATTTAACTACTAGCGATGGGTATTAGAGAGAGATCAGCTTATAACCACGCCACTGCGTACTTGACAGGTAGGGTACGCTTCGCGTCCGGAGGGGGGAAACTCGTGGGGGATCTCGACAGGCCCGTCCGTCAGTGACGGTGGCCAGCGTTCAGGTAGAGCTTTGGTGAGTCGTGTAATACCTATTTCACGATCTGGAGCCAAGTGCTGCGAAAAATTGACGCCGGTGTCGCGATAACGCGTTGCTCAAAAAAAAAAGTTGTTTCCTCTATGCGCCGTCTATCGGAGAGTGCATCTTTTTCTCTGTCTCAGGGAAGTGATCATCTCATACCGAAGATCGGGGAAAAAGACGACGATTGGAATGGAGAAAAGACAGCAGCGTCGTCGTCGTCGTGATTCAACGACCAGCTTCCAAGGTTGAAGGCCCAGCTCGAATACACAGCCGGTGAGTCATTTTCACAAAGGATCAGCAACAGCCTCCTTCTCTTTTCCCGTTGTCTTTGCAGTGAATCGCACTGCACACGCGTGTTTTATATTATTTATTATAAATGCATTTTTTTTGCATTTATCTATTTAATTTTTTGATTAACTTTGACTTCCAACTTGAATAATGGTATATTTGATGCATTTTGCTTGCATTTCGTCGATAATTGAACCTGTATTATGCTTTGTTCTATTGAAAGTAACGGAGGTAAAAGTTTATTGTTTTCTTAAATATAATTGGTATATAGAGCATTTAAGACTATAGAATTGCAAGAAATTTATATAAATGTAATGTTTTTTTTTTTTTTTTATTTTATTACATGTTTAAAGTTTTTCAAAGGTTTTCGTATTTTATAATTTAAAATGTAAGATTGAGTAAAACAGATAATGTATATATTTTGAATGCAAATTTCACGTGCCAGATATTTGTTTGGTATAAAGTGCAAACTGTCAGTTTCACTGAAAGAAAAATTAAATATACAAATATAACAAAGAGATTATTCTAATATATTTTTTGGCAAACAGAAAACAAATTAGAATAGTTGGGCTGATAATTTTAAAAGATGATAAACACAATGTAGAAAGAACATTTTTTAGTCAATCTTATGTTTTTTCTGTTTTTCTGTTTGTTTGTAAAAAAAGAAATTGAATGAAACACATGTTTAATAAATTTTTTTTATAAATAGTTTTGTTTTCTGTATTCAAAAATTTACGTTCGCATACTTTTCAGAGTAACGGTAGATTTTCAATTTTTTTCCGATTGTCATAAGATAACTGTAAGCTAACGTAATAATCAACATTCAATTCCATATAGTCGTGACATGTATGTACGTACATGTATAATACATACATGTATAATACGTACTTAATATACATACTGTTATGTCATGTACATATATATCTTTACTTTTAGAAAAAAAGATAAAAATTTATTTTTTAGCTTTTTTACTTATCAGAAATTTAATAAATGTTTTCTCGAATTCGAGAAAGAAATTCAATGACATCAATGTATTGTGATAACAGTCAAACAACGTTAAAATTATAGTAGTGGTTTACAAATAAAGAGTATACGTGTGAAAAATCTACTAATACGTGGCAAGCGTATGTGCTCTGTTTTCGATCGTACAATTCCGATTACGTAATATGCGAGAAATACAAATCCCCTCTTGTCAAAATGGAAAAGCATTCTAAAATTCTCCAGAATCTATGAAGCAAATCGACTGACTTCAAAAAAGGAATAATAGCGCGGTTGTTAATCACCTGTTGCTTTCACCATACCGGCTATAGCCTTTCTTGTTATGCAAAATCAGGTTCTTCATCGTTGAACCGTGAATTAAAAATTCGTATACCGCGTGTCACACTGTTCCGTATTTTTTTCTCGAAGATCGAGGAAAGCTATCTACTGATAAGTCCTACAAAACTGCCGCCTAAAACCGAGATATTTGCTCGTATTAATATTTTTATCAGTTAAAGAAATTTTAATAAAAGAGTACTATTTCTTTTAATTTATTAGTAGTATAAAAATTTTATGTAACAAAAATACAAAATATTTAATGTAAACTCTGACAAAATTACAAATAAATCATAAAACAATAAATTTGTATAATTTGATAATTAAAAATCACTAATAGTTCATTCAAGTTTTATGATGTAGTGACTGTATTAATAAAATAATGATAATAATTTTTTTTTAAGAGAACAAAGTAAATTTTCCTTAATCCAACCTAAATTTTCCTTCTCTTAAACTTTACCATTGAATATATTTTCTTTGCATTATAATTTTAAATAGAATAATTTTCACGTGGTTAAATAAAATGTGAAGTTGCAAAACACCGCAATTCATTATTTCGCCACACTTTAAAGCATAATAGCGTAATATATCGTTTTCCATCATGTGCGTGAAACTACTACACTTCTCTATTCGCGTTACATGAGAAGATAATGTCGTACTTTCCTGTATAGCCGGATTACTTGTCGGATTAGATCACAAAGATCGAAAGTGTTTAATAATTTATGTCATTATAGTAGAGAAATATTGCTCAACAGAATTTTTTGTTTGTTTTTTTTTGTTTTTGTTTTTGTTTTAATAAAAAGTACTAATAAAGCACTTTATATAGTTCAAAGATTAGTTTGAGTAACGGAAAGACATCACCATACCAAAACTACCGAATATTTCTTTCAACTTTAGTCTAAATTACATAAATCTGAAATTTCAATTGCTTTCTTGTTGAAACTTCGTAAGATCTTATTTCATCTTTATTCCGAAAGTTTCCAACTTAAATCATCCAGACAATTAGTTCGTTAAATCAATTAGACAATTAGTTTGTTAATTGAACAACAGTAACGAAACATATATATATATATATATATATATATATATATATTTTAGCTTCTTGTTATATTCCTATTTTATACATTATATTTACGATAAGATAACTCAAGCAAACTTTTATCCTCGTTATACACAAAGATCTTACACTCTCGCTTATACAAATATATCTTTATTCATATTTCTCCATGCGAATATCCTTCCACGAGTAAAAGCAAAGCGGTTGCTACAATCCGTTATTTCCTTCGTTGCATTCTGTCACGCGTTTCCACATTAGTGATGCAGAATAAATCGCAGCGAATAAATTGCAAAACGGAAAGGTGAGAGTTTAATCTCGTCAACTCGCTCAATCAAATATGTCGAATACATAATCGTATCGAGTTACCGTAATGTCATTAAATGCGAGCGCGCAACGACAGGCGTTCTTTCTAAGGTGAAGTCGTGAAGTCATGTCGGAGATTTCAACGAGCGCATAGACACGCATAGACGAGCTCTCTACTCTTCGGTGCTTTGCCGACATGATATTTCGAGTGATTTGCAATTTTAATCAGATCTTTTCTTTCTTTTATCATTCGCGAGAAGAAGACAAGGACAAAAAAGAGACGTTGATTTTACGTCAGTGGAATATTGAAAAATCCGACAACATTGACTTCTGCATTTTCTAATAAAAACGGTTTGATAATATTCAGATGATGTTTATAACAAAGTAGTAAAAGTACTATTATACTAAGAAACATTCAAATGCTCTGTCTAATTTTGTCCTGGTTTATTATATATTTTACTATTACCTGGTTTATTAGATATTTTACTATTTAAATATTGTATGAAAACTTGCACTTTTCTGAGTTTTAGTTAATATTTTATTACGAATACTGATACTTTTATGTTCTCTCAAAGTTTTATCATAAGTACTTATAATTACGACACATATAATTACGGTTATACGATTCAGGCCGCATGGTATATTTAAGTTTTCTAACTATAAACTGCAAGGGTTTTGTTTCAAATTTTTATTTTTTATTTATATTTTTTTACTATAAAAAAAAACATTAAAAACAAAAAAGTGGAATGCATATAAATGTTTTTTTTTCCAAAATTGGAATCTTAGACATTATTTAATTAGTGCAATTAACGTAATAAACACACTTTGAATCTTTTGAAGCGCGCGCAATATGTGGGTCAACGAATTTCGGTAGACATACTGTAGTAACCAACATCATTGCGTGCACGTATAATTACGGCTGTATGATCCAGGCCATGGTGTACTTTATTCAGTTACGCAGACACGTGTATACGGTTGACTGACGTATATACGTAGGTATAGAAATCAGTGCGTGGGATAGTCCCACAGAAAAGAGATCTTAAAATTGAGATATTGTTTTTGCACGCTAACGAGAATATCTCTCTCTCTCTCTCTCTCTCTTTCTCTCAAATAAATTGAGACTTTTCTCGATTATAGCTCATGATAGTCGTTTACATTAAATACATGTCGCCAACTGCAAGTAAAATACATCTGCAATTGAAGAAGAGAACATTTATTGATTAATATAAGTAGGTAGTTTCCATTGTAAAATAAAAATTTTCTAGTTTTAAAAATAGACACTTGAACAATAATACTAATTTATGAAATGTATATAGTTTTATACATTTATATAAAAAAATAAAATCTACAAAAATAGCACTCCTTTTGTATATGATTTACAAGAAATATCGCTTTTTCGAGATTGATACACATGTTTTTATTTTCAGCTATTTGTCCCGTAGTCAATCGCTATGCAAATTTGCGATCACGCGATTTTGAACGACGACGGTTTTTCGGGTTTTTCGCGCTCAAGAACATGCACACATAGGCTGCGTTCCAAGTTACACATATGCGCGCATTTATCTATATTATACGTGACGTGTACTATAGATAAATGCGTAACTCGGAACGCAGCCATAGGCAGATTATTAGACATCATTTACCGCCCGCTTTCAACTTGTGCTCAGCTGCGCGCAATAGACACATGCAGTCGACCTGTTTTTCCGAACGTATCATCGTCGGTCTTTTACGAATGTCGCCGCTACAATATATCTGCACTTTCCTTCTCATACCGCATGTGCCAAGAGGCGATCCAATTGCGCGCGCGCGCGCGCAACAGCCGGTAAAAAGCCGCGGTCGGCATTTAATGGAAAATTCATACCGCGAAATCGCACGGTCGTCGCTCGATACAACTGTTGCAGAAACGGGATATGCAAATGGACAGTTAAGCGGGCCCCGCGAGAGGCGGTTATCGGTCGCAGCAAAAATCACCGAGTTACGCAAATTGAGAAAGACGTGGGTACCATCGCACGATTCAGTTCTACCGGTTCAGTTCTACGCGATACTACAGTAGCCTCCTAAGCTACTGTATCACCTGAATACCGTATCTTAGCTTCGAAATCTCCCGAGAAAAACTAGTTTGAATTTACATCTAAAAACTCGTCTGACCAAAAAAAGTATTAGGTTTGCTTGCATAAAACAAGTGTCTCAATATAAAAATGTCATTTTTTTTTTTTAATTGTATTACACAAATTCACATTGTTATGTGAATTGTAATACATCAATGTTTATATAAAAAAATGCGTAATATTCGATCACCTGATAATATCATACAAAGCAAATATTTTGCAAAGTGTCAAAAATACAACGTGTCCGCAAAAGTCATTAAAAGCTGCTGTATGGCAATGGCAATGAAACAGGTGCTGCGTGCGCGTTTTTAGGTCGCAAATACCACCGTTAAATGGATGCTATATTCACGCTTTTTTTAGACGTGCACGTGTCCTCGCGCAAATGTCGATGGTATTTATTTTTGTTACGAGCTCTTTCGTAGTACTGTAACTCCGTCACGAGAATGTTTAATAACGGTGGATGTATGTGTAGACATCTAATAGTTATATTTGCTGTTAACATCACTATTGCCGATAATCATGTTGGATATGCCTATGTATCGCGCGCGCGCGCACACACACATACAAGATTTTGTTTCATTGTCTTTCCATTGAACGATACGAGCATAAAACTTATCACAGATCGCGATAGAAGATATGATTGTATTCGGTCACAGTATATATTGCTGAGAACCATTGCTGAGAAGAATATTCCAAAGAGTCGCGAATATTTCGCACAAGTAATCGGCGCGCCTTTGATATTGCTCAACGCTGGCTTGCTTGGTTGCTTGTCTTGTGAATCAAATTGTTGGTTGTATCTAGAGGACTTTTCAGAACGAGCCGAGTAGTACATACATGATGAAATATATACGTAAAAAATGTCTTCTCAAACGCGAAGAGATTTTAATAACAGCTTCCTGACTTGTTGCGCAATAAATTTGCTACGTATACACGCGGATAATTTTTGTGGATCGTAGCAATAAATTTATAATTAAAAATACATAAAGTTTTGAAAAATACATAAAAACACAGATTGTTTGAAACAGAATTATTATATTTTACACGCGACTTATTTTCTTTAGTTAAAAATTACAAAATAAAGATAACTGTTATTACTTTGAACGCGCGAGAGAATTCTAGAAAAGAGCGCTTCTTTCTTTTACTTTTCCTTTCGACGGCGCCAAAGCGTTGTTAATTGTAATAAAAGGAAAGACACGTTGTGTTCTCTCGTATTAATTCGCGGCCATTTAACCGGTCAACTCTTTGTGATCTCTGCGCAGCCACCGGAAAATATGGGCTCGGAAGCCTGGGAGTTGGAACGGAGGTATTCAGTACCGGGAGCTCTGGATACCAGAGGCTTAGAGCCGCCGGCCAGCGAAGATCTGCACGCATGGTCGATCTACAGGTGAATACTAGTACTTAAGTGGAAGCGTGTAATCCGTACATTCCGCGTTCTGTCGTCTCTGATCTAAGCCAAATGTTCGGCGTGATCTTTTTTGCTATACTCGCTACACAAAAGAATCGCTTCTCTGGATTTTTTGTTCATTTATTAACAGATTATGAATTTCCTTAACATGATTAATAATATCCTTTTATTAACGTTTATATTCATTAAATATATATACATACATATACATATATATACGTGTGTGTGTGTGTCTGTGTGTAAAATTATATATAAGATACGTGTAATTATTATTAGAAATTTTAACATGAATGTAATATAAGTATTTTGTGCATGTCTTCTTGTTTGCTAATAAAATCTTCAGAAATTTAACAAAAATATTCAAAATTGCTTAAAAGATTGTAAAAAGTTGTTAAATAGTTGTAGAAAATAGATTGTTGTAGTTTTTGTTGTAGTAAGTAGTATTTATTACGTACTTTTCGCGTAGTTAAGTTGTGTAGATATATAGTTGTATAGATATATTTTCAGTAGGAATATATAAAATACAAATATAGTTTAGGTAAATTAATTATTTAGTTAATTAAGAACATCTATATATATAAGGGAGAATAAATATATGATAAATAGATGTGGTTGAACATCAATATACACGTACATGCATTTTTGCGCTATTTTTGAACACAGGCAAAACCTGAATTCCGACTTCACGGACTCCGCACTCGGCTCCGCCGAGAAATCGCCATTGCCCTACGGGAACTTCCAACTCCGCGACTCCACAGTGCAGAGTATACTGCGGCATCCGCGGTATGGTCCAAAGAGCCCGCTGGCCAACAACTCTTACACGTACTTAAAATTCGGCCTGCCGCGTGTCTTGCCGCCCAGTTCGCGGAATCGTGATGGCTCCAGCGGTTACGATTCTAGCGAGGAAGGACGACGCGTGTCGCACGCAGGTTTATATGTAGAAAAACATATATTTGTTTTCTTTTTTACATTCATATCGTCGTGTGAAAGTGTTAAGATTTGTGACAAAATTTTTGATAGTTACTCTCTGATCAATTTAAAATGCAGGTGTTCCCGTGCACACGACCTCAATCATACGGTCAGCTAGAAGCGATCCGGACTTCAGACACGTCCACGCAGTCCCGAGGGAAGTACATTCCCAGCTGACTGTCACGAGAGACCACCCAAGGCTGAGGAGCGCCAGTGAGGCTAACCTCCTGCAGAGCGCGGTTAGGACCAATCGACGACACAGCATCGCTCCAATTGATCCTGGATACATAGCTCATGGTGAGGAGAAATTACGATTTCTGGATCTCTTTTTTTTTTTAAGATTTATTTACGTGTTAAACTCAAACAGTTTTTATTTAATTTCGCCATTTTCTCTTTGTTATAAAAAATATATTTTTATAATTAATATTTTTTGCTGAAGACGAGATTATTAGATAAATATAGATTATTCACGAACTTCATGACTTTTCCTTTTAAAAACTTTTTCAAGTTTGAAGAAATTTTTGGTTCAACTGTATGTACGATGTGTAATTATTTATAAAGGTATGCTAGCACCGGAAGGATACACAGTGCCGTTAAGATCCGTGCCATGCCTGCAGCATCCTCACTTGCAGCTGCGAGGCGTGGAGGCTTCCGGCTCGGACGGGTTGCCGCTGCTTCGTGGTATTACCCTCGAGGCCGGTGCCGCCGAAGTGCTGGCCATCATGGCGACTACCGAGAAGGAGGGTACGCAGATCATCGAGACGATCGCGGGCAGAAGGCGCATTAAGAGGGGAGATATTCTGCTCAATGGAAGATCTGTATCGGCGCGTACCCTGAGGTACTTTCTAATTTTTCTTTCTACAGGCACGTTTTTTTTGTAGCATGGCATGTACATACACATATTACCATCACATCGGCATTGAACTACTAGGCCATGTTGCGCAATTTGTACGTTACTTTTTATAGAACATGGATTTATATACACACATATGCACAATAATTATTTTTTAAAAACAAAAAAATATGAGATTTTTCAATGTGTGGAGTGATCAATTTCTTCTATTTCTCAAATATATCGTAAAGATAATGATATAAACGATGCGAATTGTTAAATAAAATAAGTACGAAAAGCTAAATATAATATTATAATATACATTATTATCGGGTTTACAATGTGAATTAGTTTTAATCTATAAGTATCTGCAATATTCCTTTCTCGATCGTAACTATACTTATTGTGAGAGAGAAAAAAAAGATTTAGTTAATTACGGCTAACGGTAACTGGCATTAGCAAGACAGCCTGTAACTACTAGGCTGTAACCAGAGAATGTGTTAGCATGCAAATCTTTCTATTTGAATAATATGTTGAATAATGAGCAGTACTCATTATTCAATTATCGCTTCAATTGTCACTTCAATTATCGGTGTTTAAACTCTAACAATATAACTTCTAACAATAACTTCTTGCTTTGCTTATTATTGTAAATATACGCACATTCTCGTGTACGAAAAAAAATAAAATACCGTTTCTAATTGTTCTATTAAATAAATTTAATTTTTTCGGATATATATGAATCAAAAGCATCGCAATAATATTGCGATTTGAATAATTTAATAACAAGTACCTACTCCTTTAATATATTTTACATTGAATTATATCTCAATATGAATATTCTCTATCTGGAATGACTCATTCAGAGATTCATCACAACTGAAACAGATCCCGCGTCGCCTATCTGCCATCAGAAAGCGGTCTGAGTCCCGGGCTGACAGCGCAACAGACTTTAAGCTTTTACATGTTGCTAAGAGGCGGCAATAACACTACCGCGCTCGAGGCCGAAGCGGTCTTGCAGGAGCTTGGTCTGGAAGCGACTAAGCACTGTCTGGTAAACACTCTGACAACTTCCGAGGCACGACGACTAGCCCTCGCTTGCCGGCTTCTTCAGGACTCGCACATTCTCGCTCTGGATAGACCCACACACGGTCTGGACATCTTTGATGCTTTCTTTCTGGTTGAGTATCTGAGGCAGTGGGCCAGCCGCGGTCAGCGGCTCGTCGTGCTTACCTTGCACCCGCCTACCTACGAGATCCTGACAATGGTGTCGAGAGTAGCGCTTACGTCCGGCGGTCGGATTATGTATTCCGGGCTCAGAAGAGACATGCTGCCATATTTTGCGCTTGCTGAGTTTCCCTGTCCTCCGTTCAAGAATCCCTCGGATTACTATCGTACGTTGTAAAATAATCTTTAATAATCTTGGTTTTGTTGCAAGAAAAATAAACATGTAATTTTGCAGCACGTGATTATAAAGAGATAAAAAAAAGAATAAATATTTTATAAACAGGTATCCCTAAACTTACAACAGAGTAACATTTTCAGACTTCGGTTGTAAGTTAAATTGATCGTAAGTTGAATTACGTCACACTTTTACCATGTATACATATCACTTAAAAACTGAACTTGATGATATTTTGTATAAATAAAACATTATTCATACAAAATAATTATTTTCTTAGTAAAAACGATTATAGATTTCTATTTAAAAAATGACAAAAAAACAAAACTGTTGTTTTAATATAATTAATGCCGCGCATGCTCTAGTTGTAAGTTTAAAAATTCGTAAGTCGAAAGATATCTAAGATGTCTAAAAAATCTAAACTTGTAGTATGAAATAAATTTTTTTTTCGGACATATCGAGCGATAATACTACGCAAAAACATACAGAAACATGTGGATATATCTACATATATGATAATTTCTCTTTTTGCAGTTGATTTAGTAACATTGGATGATCTATCAGCGGAAGCGATGCTAGAATCCTCGCAGAGGATAGATCATTTGGCGGAACTTGCCAAAACGAGATTGCCGCCGCTTACTGATCCTGGACCACCCGGTGCGCTTCCGCCTTCAACGTCCGGCCCCAACATATTCGTACAAATTTACGCGTTGTTATTACGAACGCTCATTTATAGTCAACCATGGACGTTGACGCGACTGCTGCGAAAGATTATAGTCTCCGCGTCACTCAGTATTTTGCTCGGTGCAATATTCTGGGACGTTGCCGGAGAATCGAATCTACACTTGAGGGATAGAATAGGTTATCACTATGCCAGTTTAGGTATTTTCTTTTGGCCTTTGAGTTTGCTGGCGATGTGCGATGTGTTTAGCAATAGACCGAACGTGGAAAGAAACATCAGGGATGGACTGTATAGCAGATTTATCTACATTCTTGTTGAGGTAGGTATAGAATCGGTAAAAACGAAAACTTTTAGATCTGTTTTGAAAAAAAAAAAAAAAAAAAAAAGTTTTGTTAGTATAACAAACAAATCATTCACGCAACAAAAATGCATTTTACAATTTGTTTCCAGCTTGTTTGTAATGTACCGTCTTGGTGTATGATCTATCTGATATACTTGGCGCCAGCATTCGCGATGTCGGGATTGCACCTTGTGCCGGATGAGAATCTAACGTCGTTGTGGAATTACCTTGCCGTCGGTCTGCTGTACCTGATGCTACAACATCTAATCTGTACATTTTTCGCGCATATATGCAAGTGGATCTACCTGGCGACGCTGTTCGCCGGCATGGTGATAGGCGAGATGACCCTAGCCGGCGGGGTTGTCCTGCACTTGGACAATTTACCGTCATGGTATCAGCAGATCAGTCCGATGCAATGGTCTTTGTCGCTGCTGTTGCCACGCTTGCACAGGACCGAGAATATGAGCAAACTAGCCAACTGCAAGCCCAAACAGATCCAACGCCAGGATATTATTATCCAAGCAGCTTGCGAACCACCTGACGGCGCGTTAGCTCTTCACGAGATTGCTCTGGATAAATTAAACGTACGAGGAGAATTGTGGCTGGGCGTCGGAGTGGCTGTTGTAGCCACGTTGATCGTTCTGAGCTTCCTGTGCGTCAAGTACGCCACTCCGAAGAGTCCTAGAAGCGCTCCAAATAAACCTTGATATGTATTTTATGTATGAGTCGTTAATGCGAAGTAGAAAGCAAACCAAGATTATATATGCAATCGAACTGTCACGAAGTAATCGATCTAAATGTCCGATAACTTATCGATATCTTTTCGATCTGAATGTTTAATGTCTTATTACATAAGATATTCAGATAGAATCTGTTTTATTTGATGATAAACATTGCATAAGTCACATAAATAGTCTACTTCGCATCACGCTTATAAAGTCTTGTCTATGTCTACCCTGTTGTGATTCTTTAAAGCAGCAGAATTTTAAGGACTTGCAAGGCAGACAGGTAATATGGAGTACAAAGCTTAATGAGAGATATTAGCTTATATTCCTTAATAGAAAAACCGCCGTTCATAAACGACAGAAATAAACACGCTTATACTCCGTATATTGTCCTAATCGATACGCGCCCGCGTATTATTGTAACCGTATAAAATAAACATTTTCACAAAATGAATATTTTCGCTGCCTATTTTTTCTGACTCTTTACATAAGTTCTAAATATTATTTTCAAAATATAATCTCAAATACGTATATATTATTGTTCAGTAATTTAATTTTAGATTGGTAATTTTATGGCAATATATTATTTTTATATATTAAGCTTTAACGATTTAAAAAAAATATATTACAAAAATATAATTACAATAATATATTGTCACTCCCTATGTATAATCCCGTAACTCCAAAACGCAAATTTTAGAAGACAGCAGTTAAAAAATTTAAAGCTTCGTATGTTTCCCTAGTTAAAGAATCTTTCGGTTTTAAATTTTTACGTTACTTGCAAATATTTTTTTTTTTTAATATTTAGTGACTATAAAGAACATGACTTTCTAAATGTCACTATGCAATAAACTGAAAATCCCGTATATGACATTTGTGTAATTATACGTAGGGAGTGACGATATGTTCTTACGTATTTTATTAAAAAATAAATTTATTCAACAAATTTTGTCTTAAATTCTTTTTTCAGTATTCTGTTAGAAAATTTTACTATCAACACCTATGGTTCAACAGATAAATATATTTTGCTCAAAATTAGTAGTAGCAGAGAAAAACCTGATAGCGGCCATCCTATTGTAGTTTCTTACTACGGTTTCAGCCGCTGGTTTTAGCGCCATATCCACAAAAAAAAAAGTGGATCTCAAAGGCTGTTCTATATTAAACGCAAGACGCAGGTTTCATGGAATTAACTAATCGCATAGTCAAATCAGCCAATTGACCAACGTGATTGATCAGTTTCACGAGACCTACGACTTGCGTTTAACGTGGAACGGGCTTTGAGATCTACTTTTGTGGACGTAGCGTTGAAAACCAGCGGCTGAAACCGTCGTAAAAAACTACAATAGGATGGCCGTTCTCAGGTTTCTCTCTGGGTAGTAGCTCCGTATGTTGGCTCCATCTAGATTCTTAAAAACCGCCGATATTGAAGATATCTGTTACGAATAGATATTACTAACAGAGAAAAATATGGCTCTGATAATAGAAACTCTTGTGTTAAAAAAAACATTAGAATAGAATATTATAATAGAGGTAGGAATAGAATATTTTGAAAAAAATATATATATTTTGGGGATAAACCATAAACAATTTTATGATAAAATCACAAAATCTTGTGATAAAAAATGTATTTTTCATCATAGTTATTTTGAGATCGATAATAAAGTGCCACCCCTTCGTAGATGCCATACTACGCAAATCAAGTTATAAAGAGACTATAAGCGCTAGACGGTTTATTAGAAATCAATAGCGCGTTGAGCAAATTTATCCGTGGATGACGCATGTTAAGAAATGTAAAGTGTGATTAAAAATAAGAACAACTACTTGAGTGCATCTCTTTGTCTACACCGGCACAGTCGCTGGATCCTCTCGGTACTTTATTTGAGACAACAATTCTAGAGTTTCATATTGCTAAAAATAATGTAAATATAATATTAATTAGATAAAATGTGTTTTTTAGCTATTAATGGTTTTTATATTTAGCGTAACATTTAGCTAAATGCGGCTAGCTAATCGCAAATTCTACGCTGTTAGTTAAGTCGTGCCGTATCTTCCGCGAAAATCGTAAGCAATTGCCATTTAGCCATTGCTATTATTTCATGAGGTGAGGTAATTTCACAGGATAAAATCGATCTCTCTCTCTCTCTCTCTTTCTCTCTCTCTCTCGATCTCAGCGTTTGCAAACTCTCGCTCTCACTCGCAGAAGCGCATCATGTCGTAATGATAATTTGTTTTTATGTAAGCGCCTACTTTCATCGCGAGCGAGTTTGCAATTAATTACACCAATTAAAGTCGCCAACGTTCGTCGAACTCGAGTAACGTACCTCCTCTCTAGAGAGAGATAGGGATCGCGCGATATCACTTGAAGAGTGACTTGAACGATCATGATACGATAACAGCGTTAGCCGATAAAAACGTCAAGAATGGAAAGATTCCCGATCATGCAATTGATTCATACTTGTGTATCTCTTATTCCGATTGATATATCGCAACGTCAAAATTATGAATATTTTGATGAAACGGTTTTATTGCTGTCACTGCATGATTATGCAGCGCTTTTCTGTTAATACTCTGTAAATTAAAATTTTCTTAAAAATTACATGCAAACGTTCTTCTTACATAAGAAGGTCTTTACACTTAAGAGAGAATTTTTTAGTCTAGCGAATCAGAAAAATCTATTGTTGCTAAATATCATTGATGTTCTAAATAAAGAAAATTAGTATGATTTTCTAAATAACAAATAATAGTACAATAAAGTGTGTTTAGAAAAGCGGTCTGTTTTTGTAAACTGCGGATCGCATTAGAGAAATTCGTTGTGCAACATTACACGAGATCTTGTTAGATCGATCCTCCATAAAAGGAATTGTCTACACAAGTATGTATAGGAATTTGGAGCTCGGACATTCAAGTCTAAATAAAGCGATGTTGTCGGGTACAATAAATCGGGTCTTCTTTAGTGGATTTAAACTAGCGTCTATATAATACACGGCACTTCATAAATGATATGCAACGATCTATTAGCAACTTACATCTATCGACAAATTTGAAGAAAATATTACGCGATCAAAAAATCAAAATCCAGAGGAAGAAATGAGTCATTTTTGAGCGAATCTTTAACGGCGTTTGAAACAAACTTGTGGTGAGAAATTTTTCACGGATTTCGATCGTCGAAGACTTTTGCTTGTAAAACGTCCCATACACAGCTGATTTCTCAATGAATCGACCTTTGTATGGGCGTTCCTCAAGAAACTCGTTCATCGCGCTTAGAGAAACCACAGCGGAATGTCGGCGAATTATTGAGATACGACGGAAATTGAGGATCCCACCGCGTTTGTGTAACTAGTCTCGCTTGTTCGGCGAGAGTTCCTATACGATGATTTACGTAATGAGCTGAGAGAGCGAGGGCTTTTCCAAGAAATTATCGTCATGCCGTCATTCGGCCCACGCCGACACTTTAATTACTTTCATCGACGGAAGCGACCGTTTGCAGCGGTAATCGACAATTTGTCGCCTAGCACGTTGAAGTTTCAGTAATCAAACTATAGAACTAGATAGAAACGTGAGTTTAATTTCGGGATGATATAATATTGTTTCCATTTTGTAACATTTTCGAGAGCGAGAGAGAGAGAACATTTCGTTTTCACAGAGCATCCTGCGAGAGTCGGAAGTACGACAAATCTTCTTAGAATTTTACTCGTGGTTGCTTCACGTCGCGTGTTCCGAGAAGTCTTTACTGCGTTTCCGCAGGTAGTATTAACAGCGGACTATATTTCGCATTATGCAGGACACAATGTGACTTAAGTCGCATTCCCAATCGTAACATTAATGATTCAAGATCGCTTAGAGGACGCGTCATGTGTCGAAGATACTAAAAACTTTTCGGATTATTTGTCTCGTTGAATAATAAAAACGATCTTATAGGACAAAGACAGACAATGTGAAAAATAGTTTAATATCTCTCTCTTTACTACATACAAAAACAAAGTTTTTTACATAAACACACATTGATAAAAAGAGATAGCAATGAAATATCAGTGGACAGTTTTACGCTATAGATAGTGAACGCACGCGGGATACGTGGGTGCGTGGAATGTGGGCGCACCAGTTTTGAGAGTCAGTCTGAGCGAAAGAGAAAAAAAAAGAAAAAAAGACAGAGATAGATAGGCGCCCATTTTCAGAACACTCTACGGTCATCCTTGAAGCGTAGGAGAGTGATTGTACAAAAAAAGAAATCTCCGGACCCACCTACGGATCTGATGAATATCATCGGGGAGGACAAGTAGCGGCCTGATTGACCCGGTGATTGACTATTATTTCAATTAGGACTGAGTTTTTCCAATTTCCGGAATTATTTGTTGTCCTTATTTAAAATATCATAGAAAGTCACTTATGATCATTACTATAATTGTTTGTGTTTTTTGGGCATTATTTATTATCATCAGCAATTACATTGTTTATTGTCTGATCTTCTAAAAGTGTAATAGTATAAATATAAGTGTATGTAAATGTGTTTTTCTGTGTGTAATAAAAGTGCCATATTAGTTTTATTCAACAACTTAATGACTCAATAACTCAATGACTTTAATGGCTACTTTAAACTTCTTTCATTTATTATATCGCGTTCTTAATAGTGTTTTTATACTGGTATCGATGTTTTAGGTTTGATTTTTACTAAGATGAAAATTGTACTACATCCTGTATTTTTTCGCATTGGTCCTAGCCTTATTTTGACTTTGTCGCGGACTTATTTATCGATTATATTTTCACATTAAATCTTCATAGTTCACACTTTTTAAATAAATGTGTTGTACGTGTAATAATAAAAATATTATATTTATTATCATCTTTGTTTACTATTTTGCTTTCTATTTTATTAAGATAATAACATTATTACAAAACTCATGTTATTTTTCCATCAACTTATCAACGCGTTAGTTTATCCGCCTACATGCGTTCAATATTTTATTAATAAACGCAATAATATATTCTCTCTCTCTCTCTCTCTCTCTCTCTCTCTCTTATATATATACATATATACATATTGTATACACATGCATAAATGTAGTACACTATATATATGATTCAAGGTTCCATATAATTTATTGTTCTGCACATATACCAAGCCGATTTTGTGTAATATTATTGAAAAAAAAGAAAATATCATTAGCGCTGTCAAAGGCGCAATTCAAAAGTTTCGCAGAAATTTTTTTCAAAAAGAATCAGTTTCTTCTTAAGTATATCAGTTTCTTCTCACGATTAGTAAGCTACTTTACAAATAAATATATTATTCGTTCACAATAAAAGACGTAACCCGACCGCGTGCGCGTCCAGCAGTTATATCCTATTCTTTTCTCATTATCACTGACAACAGGATGTCAGTCAGATAGTCATAATAGCGCTGACGAATTTCTGTAAAACAACGACTATCTATTGACAATAAACGCCTAGCATTTTTAA